TTGTACTAATTTTTTATAATGAATGCTATCAAAAATATTACCTATTTGATTAGCATTTTTATATAATCTTTGTGATATATAATTAGCTCTGTATCTTAACTATATTGCACGAATAGAATCTTTGTATTGAATAGTAAAGTGCGTGCAAGTGAAAAATATACAAACTGCGATGTGATTTTTTTATTTTTTTGTGGTAATAGTACCGATCTGACTTACAAACTGGACACTTTAATAATTTTTAGTAATTTCTAGTATATGCATAGCATGAATTCAAACATATATCTATCTATAGAGGTTTAATATCTACAATTAATTTTAATATTTTTTTGACAATATGCAAACTAATTGGCCTAGTATTAACTGCAATCATAGTTTTCTGAAATGCCTTATCTGTTAAATTATATTGAATTTTTACTTTAAATAACCTTAATGCGATAGCTCATTCCTCTGATATATCTAACTCTATATCTAATATTATAAATAGGGTTGTTATATAAGTTTGTTTAAATTATTACAACTTTAAAAACAATATATTTTAATATACATATTCTAATTATATCTAAGGGTTTCTTATCCTAACTATTCTAATCTTCTTGAATAAATATATTAATAATATTCTAATTATATCCAAGAAGATTAAAATGATTAGGGTAAGAAACTCTTAAATATAATTAGAATATTATTAAAAAAAATAACAATATTTTTTATACTATTTGGAGAGTAATTAGAATAATTATCTTCAGAGCTTTCAGAATCAAAAAAATCTTTCTATTTAGAATAATCTGAATAATTATCTTCAGAGTCTTCTGAACCAAGATCATTTAAAGCACTATTGCAATTAGAAAAATCTTTCTGTATTGAATACTCTGAGTCACTACTTTCTTGTGAAATTTCACTATATTTTGAGGTTTTAGATAAATTTTGTATTTTCATATCAGTATCTAGTAAAAATGAATCTTGAATTTCATATAATACGTCTGTATTAACATCAACATTAAAGAAATTATAATTAGGAATGGATTTTATTTTACTATAATTTTATTATTATTTCGCATAATTAATGTTAAGTATTAATTAATATTAACCAAACTAAAATACATATTTATTATTAAAGATTTTAATAATAAACTTGCAGCTTAGAATCCTTAATAATTAAATAAAAAAAAAGTACATATAACAATTATACTCTTTCCATAAATCACTTACACAAAACAAACTCTAAAAAATCTCAAAACAAAAATGACTATAACTTCTTGAACTATTAAGCAA